TCAATTGTGTCGTAATCATATATAGGAGGAAATGTGTTTCGTATAATATATTTCACGATATATATGATGATGAGGTGCTCCTTTCATAATTTCATTCACTGTAAATAATTGCTTATTGCAGGAGCACAACCACAATTTAGCTCTTAAAGGAGCGATGCAACAATTTTTGTACTGTGTACAAATACCGCTTAAAACGGATCTCTAACGTTGATGACCTATGAAACACGCGTTCGTTTTTCACCCCACGCAATAGAAGTCCCAGAAAAAAATTGAAGAAAAACCAGCAGCGTTCACACCCTCAACTCGCAGCCAGAACAAGCGGCCACGTGATCTGGAGCCGATTATATGCCGCCAGCGTTGATCATAGCCACGCGCTGGGGTTGGCAAAGCAGAGGACACGCGCTGAGTTCCAGACATTGTTATGGCTCGGCTGTTGTCGTCGTTGCAGCGATTGGACACGAGTCACAACCCGAATGCTTCTCGAGCTAGCAACTGTACGAGCCCAAGTCGAGCGCCCACGCAATGCTCGGGTCCAATCTATGAACCGCATTCAAATATCGTCACTTGGGTGGACTGCGATCCCCGAGTTACGTCATCAAATTTTGCAAAGGAGAGATTGAATGAAAATGATCGCTTTTGTCCTTGAAATTACACCGTAACAAAGGAGTTTCTTGGCCAATGGCGCTGCGTGTGAGTACCCTTGAGTCCCAGGTGTGCCAGTAAGCCCGTGTAGAGAGAAAAACATTCCAACTGAATATCGTTGCACAGCTCCTTTAATACTGCGACGCAAAGTTGTACCGATCACGGGTATTTTGGGCGACCTACCGCACTTCGTGGCAACTTTTTGATTCAGGAAAAATAAATGTGACTGAAGTAGACAAATTAATGTTATGTGGTATAAAAATTACGTTGGTATGTTCATATAGATATTCTTTCACAGTTTCCTCGAAATAAGATAACGCTATTTCTTTTTTTTTTATTATTTTTGACACCTGAAAATAAAAGTGGATTGTACGAACGATAAAAAAATCTATACAGACTAATTACTCGTTCTACGCGGAAATACTGCCTACTGCCAAAACAACGCGAAAACTATATCATCAGTTTACTGGTTCAAACCGATTCAAACCGATTTGCACTGTTATTTTTGTTCCTGGAACTGAACCGGAACTGAAATGATAGCCGTGAACCCTAACCCGAACCAATAAATAATTCTTTTTGACACTCTAAAACTACATGACGAACTTCATGTTTCACGTTAGGAGGAATGAAATGTGTATATCTTAAACTTGTTCCGGCAATGTTAAAGATGCTTAAGATGGAAGCATGAACGAGTTGGTTATTTGTATTTAAAAATGCACAGCTAAAAAGAAAAAAACGCAAATAGAAAAAGGAAGTCACACACCAGGTCGCCGCGGTGTGTTTTGTCTGTTTGTGCTACTTGTCTTTGACGTACATATTTAAACACTAAAAAGTTGTCGCACATATCACAAGAAAAATCGGTTTGAATAAGACATAACTTTCTTATCCTGTCTAAGTTGTTTCCTTTTAATTTCATGTTATAGTTGTATAAGAATGTGTAATCATATTTATTTACATTTTAACTTCACGTAGAATTAGGCAAAAAGAGGCGAAAACGCCGAAGGGAAGTTAAAATTATGTTCAATCAGTAATATACGATTGCATAACAATATACATGTCTCTTTGTTCTGTCAAGTGTACTAACGAAAGGTAGGATTGGCTGAAACACGAATGAACAATCTTCACGTTTACGCACTCCCTGCGATGACTAACGCTCCCCATACGATAATTCATTTTTCCCCAATTGTGAAGCCGTATTTCGATATAAGAGTTTTCCTAGTATGACGCCTTTTCGAGCAATTTATTGAACCTTTATTTTCTTCCACGACTAAGTGCAAAGTTCAAGTGTCGCGTGTGCGTGAAAGCGGTTTTCATTTGTATCCTTTCTAAACTCTGGTTTGAGGTAAACGCGCTTATTTCACATATTTCAAGGCTTCCTAAAGCCTTGAAGCTGTTCCATCGGAACAGCTTCAAGCAAACTCGTGAATGCAAAACTTACCGCTCCCGGGTGTACATGTGGCATGTAAGTACGCCCACCTCCCCCCCCCCCCAACTTTATCCCGCACACTTTTTCCCTCTGGTGGGATCGGAGCAGCCACTCCGACAATGCAAATTAAACAGGCGACCTCATTTTACACGCCAACCTTATCACACGTTTCCAGACTCAAAAATCGGTTACGCCATTTAAGACTCCTCCTCCAATGCGCTTCAGTATTCGCTCGGTTTACTATCACCGGTGTGCAGGCGGCGTGAAGCTCGTTTCAGAATTTCCTGTTAAATTTATGACTCTACACTTCAGCGAAGAGCTTCGGGTCTGGGCGCGGTATAGGGCCTTGACTTGTTCAAAAAATTAAATATGTAGGCGCAAAATATTTACGCGATCTGCGCATTCCACGCGGTTTCGTAAACGATAAAACGGCGTGTTAAGGGGAAGGAGAAAGGGAAGGGGGGGGGGGGTTAACAAGTCGAACAACCCAGAAATTGATAGCTTCGACCTTGTTCGGCTGCTCGCAGCGCGATACATACAGAGTTTGTTCCCCCGAGGTTCCTGAGTGACGCAGCGGTTGCAGTTGAGGTATTTATTCGTGCTTTCCAGCGATATCTATAGTTGCCTGCCCCTCGCGGAGTTTTGTGGAACGGAATTGCCGACTCGTGGTTCTCAAAACGAAGCTTGGGAGGTTGTGTATTTTGCGAGCGCTCATTGAGTCGATACCTATATTATTTGGCAGACCTTTCCATCTTTTCATTCCCTGGACCACAAAAACCAAAGTGCAACTTCCCCTCAACAAAACGTATAAAGACGCGTGTTTATAATTTCTGGCGAACAGAAAAGCGAGAAGTATTTGTGTAACTTTATGACCGTTAAGACGATCCAACGGTATTTAACTATATTTATGAAATTATCGTTCCCAACTCGAACTTTAGTCTCGCCGAAATTCCCGCTGTATCTGCGTTGAACAACTCAGAAAACAAGCAAAAAAAAAAAAAAAAAAAAAAAAGACGATGCGTGTGTGGTTGGCCTTGCAGCAATTCGTTACACATGTTACTCCGAAATTCATTTTCTCGTGAACCTTCAAGTCTTTTACCAAATATTTACCTTAAAAATAAACAAAAAAAGATCAACGCAGTGTTTTTAAGTGAAAATAGAGCTTTTTTTTTGTCAATACTCGGGAACAAGTAATGTATTTAGTTACTGTTTGAGCCAGCAATGGTACTGGGGTTGTTTTTGTTTTTTCTTTGGTAACCTGTGCAGGTCTGTCTTACGCCCACTTCAGACCTTGCTTAGGTCCCGTTTCCTTTAACGGCTTCCACGACGCACCCCCGGGGCGTTTCAGCGTATCGACTGCCCTGTTTGCGAACCTTCCACATTTTGCGGTGCTGTACGAACCCTGAACAATAAGAGAAGCTGCACCCCTCAATAATACAAGGCCGTCACTCAAGTTTGCGAGGAGGCAAAACTTTCTTTCTCTAGCGTCTCTAGGGAGGTTTATGAGCCTTCGCACGGACCCGGCAACAGCCCGCGGTCAAAGCTCTCCAATCCAGACAGATTGTGGGCAAACTCCGAAAGGGCGAGGACGATGTTTGGAAGGAGGCTACGAAAGTGAGAGAGAGAAAGAGAGAAGACTGGTTGCCGGCCACGTATCCTCTACGCGAACCCTCATCAGGTTGTGCGGGTCTCGACGAGGCCTCGGGGCAGTGTTGTGTCGCTAAACTCGTCACTCTGGTAATTTGGTCCTTGCGGCGGTGATCGTCGGAGGCCCCCCGTGCTTTGTGTTGACGCAGTCCAAACTCTTTGCTGTAACCCGAGCTTGGATTTTAGAGAGTGCCGGTTTCCACCGACGTACCCATCTTTTATTTTTTTTCTTTTATTTTCTTTTGGCAATTTATTGTCGGCGCCATCTAAAGCTCCTCGGGGAGTTGTAAGGCTTGCTCGATGATAAGACGTCTGCTTTGAGCGGGCAGCAAGTTGTCAACTTGTCTGCAACTTTGGAGAGATTAATATAGCCCCTTGTCAACGCCCTCGGTGTAAGAGAAAGTGTCAGAGCAGGAGATGATAAGGCGCGATAATATGAGCAGGTATTGGAGACTCTTCTTGCATCACCACCTATCGTGGCGAGGTGAGATCAGTTGATATGTAGTGAAATTGTACTACACCTCGTAATGACTCAATGTTTAAACTTGTAGATAAAGTTCGTATTATGTGAGGCAAACATTACACCAAATATACCCGTGGGCTTCATCATTGGTGCTGAGAAAATAGGGATGTTGATGGTAACTGCGGATCTTCACGTAGGCACACGTTGCGCAAGAACCGGTGCCGTTGAAACATCCTTCAAGTTTCATTGACACGTTAAACAAACTGCGAATTATGCGACGGATAGATCATAAAATTCGCCCGGGTAAACGCGTGCTTTGCGGGCGACGTAGCAGCCATACTGCCGATGCTGCGCGCAGTGTGAAAGTCACCGGGCAAAATTCGCCAATTTTTCGCCGCATATTCACCCCGTGGAGTCCAGCCTTTAAAAGGAATAATGCTAAGAAAAAAAGAAAAAAAAAGCTCGGAAATATTTGAAGCTGCTCGGATTCGCTTATCATGAAACTTATTGCTGCCCCATGATAGTAATAAAACAATATGTTGCTAATCATTTATTATTATTTTCTATTCTCGGTTATGCTGCGCTTGTATTATGAGTTTTTGTTGCTTTGTTGCGTTTTCTCCTATCTGTGGACAACGACGCCAACGATTCCAATAATAATCATTTCTTGGGGTCAAATTTGTTTAAATAAACGTTATTTAAGTTTATTTATTTATTTAATTGTTACAAAATCAGCGTGCTTATTAGAACATTTTCAAATGAATATACGCATTTGGGATTCTTTCTTTTACAATGTTTTGATATAAAACATCTCTTACGCAGCGCCGTGCAAGATTCCCGCGCTGGAGCACGCGTTCGTGAACCTTTCCACTCCGGAGTCGCGACTGGAGCACGGCCGCCTGCTCAACGTGAGCTGCCAGGAGCACTACGAGCTCGCGTACAACGCCACGCCACCCAAGTGCAACAACGGATCCTGGACACACCTCCCCATCTGCGCACCGGGTGAGCGACCCTGTGTCGCCGAGCGACTCTTATAGGCGGCGCCGTTGTCTATCATCGTCGCTGCCACACGCACTCTGCCCCTTAATATAGATAAAACTTAATTAGCCCGTATTTCTTTAGGCAACGCGTAGCTATTGACATGGCGAGCGAGTACTTGCGCTCGCATCAGTCAGGCAGTATCAGCGTCTCAAAGGAAAAAAAAAATCCCTTTGGCCACTGCGACCACCTGGCCATAAGAGCGTAGTGCACGATCAGCGTAGTAAAAATCAGGACGATGCATGCACAGTCCCGATTTTCGGAGTTTGTCCTATTAAAGAAAGGCCGGCTATCGGTGTGGATGCAAAGTTGATCTAGGTTAACTATGCGCAACAATAAACGAGAAAGCAATAAAATGAACGATAACGTCTTACTTATTCCTCGCCTTTTTTTCTTGTAAAATAAGCATTACACTCTCTGCACTGAGCAATAACACACATACGCACGTACAGGTACGCACAAACACACACACACGTACACACACGCGCACACACTTTTCAATCAGTGGCAGCAAAAAAAAGTAAAAACGCCCACAATTGTTGTTCTATTTTCTCCACTACAAAACAGTCCCCACACAGCCAATGGCGTGGTGAGTAGGGGCTTGTTCTTTTCTAACGTCGCCCCCTGGTGGTTCGCCTCCACAGCGCGCTGCAAGAGCCTCCCCGAGCGTCCGGCGCACGGCATCGTGATCGCGCCCAAGACAGAGCACGGCATGCGGGCGCTCTTCCACTGCGTGGACGGCTACGAGTTGGTGGGGCCCAACGTGACCGTCTGCCAGTTCGGCAACTGGACTCACAAGACGGTGCCGGTGTGCAGAGAGAGTGAGCACGGCGTCCCTGCTCTTCTCTGTCGCTATCGCGTAACATCACTATACTATAGGGGGCATTCACTGGACGCCATATTTGAGGGCGGTGCTTAGAGTGCATGCTCAGAACGAGCCCACATTACTGGGCTGAGAAGACCGGTTCTCTCGATGGTGCGGAATGCACGTTGAAAAAAAGAACCGCGGAAGGTCGTCGTCAGCACGCGCTCAGCAGTCGCATACACAGCTATGGTCACCAGTGAATACTCTCTATATACGTTTCACGCCTAACCTCCTACCAGCGCGCAAATGACGTCCCCTGGACCAGGTGCATTTCTTCCTTGGCCACTGACAGAGGGTATGCAACCGCCGAGGGTATGGGCGAAAAGGCTTAGAAACGGACGTCGTGCGAATTAGATCAGTGTTTCATTTTACTGCGCAACAATTCGCAAAATCTACGCTTATCTGGCTATCACTACGTCGTCGTCATGTGCACAAATAATATTCATGAGAATAAGAACTATCGCGGAAAATGTGCGATGAGCAGAAGAAGCTGCAGCGCGGGTGTGGTTGCATTGTTAATAAACTTCACATCGTCCATAAGAATCCATATTTAAAAAGTCAGTCGATTGCGAGCGTGAATCGGGAGGGCTTTGTATCAGGCTCATCGTCACGTTTATGCTCACGACTACTTCGTCTGCTGCAAATGGACCGATTTTAACCTGGTGCAGGTGCTCCGATTAAGTTATCACTGCAAAGTGTGCTATTGCTTCATGGCATGTGGAAGGTGTGAAACTGTCTACGTGCTATTACTCACGATGCAGCTATCAAATACCGAGAGCTTACCTGCATAGACTACATTAACCTGCTCATATATACCTTCGTTGTGGAAACTCAGTTAGAGCGCCCGACAGACGTCGCCCTCGTTTTTTCGATGAGGCAGTGTGATGTCCTGTCATTAGCCAGCTCGATTCAACCGGCCAAGTTCCGGTCAAGTTACTGTAGTCAAGTACCCCCCTTGCCCCCACTGTTACCTACGAAGATAGCTGAATTGCCAGAAGCGGCCGGCAATCTTGGTGGTGCGGAATGCAAAAGAACCGTGGAAGCTTCCCGTCACCCTGCGATCGGCAGTTCCCCACAGTCATATTTGAGTCCGGTATTCATTACAGTTATAGAATGCGAAAACCTGCATTCCTGATGGTGTAAAATTCCCGCTACGAAATCACACGTGACAGCTCGCCTTGAGCACGCACTCAGCGGCTCCGCTATTTGGCGTGGCCGCCAGTGAATACCGCTCATAGTCTATGACAACTTAAGAAACGCAGGGCTTGGCTCGAGCATTTTCTAATCACCCCTCAGCCAATGAAATTGCTGCGTCAACGCCGTAGAACAATTACGAAACAAGGAGCGCCAACATAAGAGGCCACAGTCAGCGTTTTAAAGATGTCATAGACTATGCGGTGCGTAAATTCATCTGCTTCTTGCACTCAGGGGTTGCATTGACGTCAGAGCGCCAAGAACTAATCGGCTCCGATTGGAAGAATAGTGGGTGGACCACATTGACAGCTTGCATTGAGGTCCACCCACTACCTTTCCTCTCAGAGCCAATCAGAGCTCGACGTTCTGACATCACCACAACCCCTGCGCAAGAAGCAGACGAGAATGTAAGATAGACAGGTGAGGAAACGGCCCATAGAAGCCTACCGCAGCGCCTTGACCGGATTGTGTACTCGTCTGCTTACGGGTACCCCCGATTTGCGACAGATGGCGCTGCGGCGAGAGGAAAAAAATTGGAATCTAATTTGCATGGAACTTTATGGGAGAGTGCACAAAATAAACCGAGAGCACGACATTTCTTCATCGAAAGTCCCGAGAAATCATCTCCGTCAGTTTAGCCGGTCGCCACCGGTCGCCCACCCGGAGTGAGAGTTCGCGGTGCTCCCCATAGATGGCGCCACAGAAAAAGAGAAAACCGAGGGGGACACAATCCGGTCGCTCATTCGGCTCTCGTTTCCCCACCCGTCTATCTTACACCCTGAAGCAGACGAACATGCACTCCGCATAGCGTTCTCAGAAACGCCTTCTGCAAGTGTTCCACACCAATCCATCTGGAGTGTCCACTTTCCCGCGAAGAACATGGCAGAACCAATCGCCGCACTGTACGACAAAAAAAAAAAAAAAACTCAGTGAATGACAAGGCAGAAAATATATTCAGACCTAAAAAAAAAAAGAAAAGAAAAAGATTTTGTGCTGTGTCAGTGATTTTGACATAAGCGCTTGAAACGCCGAACTCTGTGTTACAGCGCAGATATTATTCTCTTTTTTTTTTAAGTTTGAAGATTTTTTTTTATCTCTCTGCACAGAATGCAGTGATTGATTTACCGAAGTGATTTACACAAAAGTAGACGCTCTAGAATTCTCGGTGTGCAGTCTTGTGTACTGTGGTGTGTGTGTATCCTCTACTATAGTGTGTTACACTGCATGTGGCATGTGTACTGTAGTGTACTTCCATCATGAGACAAACTAGAATAACATTACGCTTTTTGAAATAATCAAGTTTGTTTGGTTTAAATGGAATGTATTTTATTTAAATCAGATTAATTAGATTTAAATGATTGTAGCAACAAAATAGTGGCCCTTTATTAGTACATTTATTTTTAAACATCACCCATTGATTGATCTAATACATCCGATCACTCATAACAATGCGGAAGAAAGAGTTACTGTAAATTTAAAGTAGAGTTTAATACATACAAGAGCAAAAACAGCTTGAATTTTGTTGTTAACATTTTTCTTATCGCTGTGATGTGCTCGCAATAAGACATTACATATCTTGATTTTGTTTCCTTCTTTTACGCTCTGATTTCCTTAAAATGGGACGTTACATAACCTATGACCAAAGTGGAAGGTAAAAAGAAAACTCAATGATCCTATTTTATCAGAAGCGCCATGTGTTCAGGCTGGTATAAATCTTTCTTGCTTGATGCTTTTTTTTTAAATTCAGTACAAAAGAAAACTACCTAGAAATCATCAAATGATAGACAAATAGTAAATGAAATGCGTGTCTCGGAATCATAATTAGTTACATCTTAAATTTCAAGATTAAAGGATAGGTATTCATCTATTCTTAGAGTTTTTTTTTTTTAATCTAACTTTTGATTGTGCGTATAAACGCTTAACTATAGGCTTACTTATGCAGACTTTTTTTTTTGCTCATTTTTATTTGAATATTTATTTTCTGGCCCTCGTGTCAGCAAAAGATCCCCTATCCAGACGCTTAGACAAAGGGTTACGAGGTCCCTGATATAAATCGAGATTAAAATCCTTTTGATATTTATTATCTACCTCTGGCATAAGATTTGCAAAAAAGACCCCTCTCCCCCCCCCCCCCCCCCCCCCCCACCCTGCCCCCACACTTTCCCGAATGACCGGAAGGAAATTGCGTCACGACGACGCTCAGCATAAATGCGCCATTTGTCTGACGTCACCAAAAAGAAAAGAGCCTCCGCCGGCGCTTTTTGTTTTTCTATTATGGATTGGGGGCGTCGCACTAACAAAGCTCATCATAATTCTCATCCACAATGAGCTTCGTTCAAGACAAAGTCTTGTGAGTTCACTTTCCTGGAGTACATACACGTAACCGGTCCTTCGGATGAGCGTGAAGATTCCAGCGAACCATAAAGCTTAAAATGCAATTATAGCCCCCGACGGCTCAAGAAACGCGGGGCTCATATTCCCAACTCTTGCTTCGTACTTCGTTCTTCGGCGTCCCTATTGGCTAGCACCGAAATCGCATTGACTACGGGGCGTTAATAGGATGCAGGGAGCCCGCCAAGCGTTTTTTAAGCGGTCACTGACTACCTGCGTCAAACGTGAGCAGGTCGCTCCAAGCACGTGCTCAAGATGTGATCTCATTTATCGTCTGCCAAGAATGAAAGATGTAGTGCAATGCTGAAGCGTTGCGGAAGCTCGCCGTTGCCGCAGCTGACTATCGCGACTATACTCGGCGACAACTTTTCTTGGCAATGCAGTGGAAGGTACGTCCCGCGTCCCCTCTCCCATTTTAAGTGTACGCAGGCTCTCCTCCTCTCCCCGGAAATGGGGGAGGAGGAGAGCCTGCGTATACTCAGAATGGGGGAGGAGACGCGTAACGTACCTTCCACCGCATCGCCAAGAAATGTTGTCGCCGAGTATAGCGCCGCAATTGCCTTCCCCCCGTACCACGGGAGACGCTTCCCCGTCTATAGAGTCACCTTCAGGGGAAGCACGCTTTACGGAAACCCCCGGGCTACGCCCATGCAGAGCCGGGTGTTCCGGTTCCGGTTCCTATCCGGAGAGCAAGTCGTCTGTTTCTTGTGCGGGGGTTGCGGTGACGTGAGAACGACGCCAAACTCTGATTGGTTTACACCTTAAAATGAAGTAGGCGCTGTGGCATTACGCAATGCAAGCATGACGCTTTGCATTGCGTAATGTCGCAGCGCGGATTTAATTTTAAGGTCTAAACAGGTGTTCCGCCTATTGATTCGCTGAGCTGATTTCCTAGATCGCAGTGATTGGCTCTTTTAGTGTTTTGCGGGTAAGTAGACACGCAGGTATTTCTTAGAGTGGGAGAACTTTTTCAATACTTTGATAGTTTTGATGACAGTCCATAAAAACTGAGACAAATTCGGAAAACAAAATGGCAACGGCTTGTTCGCTTTAACAGTTTCGCGGGATGTGCTGAGCTTTATGGCCGTTGAAACTTTCGTAGAAATAAAGACCGGCCTGTTTTGTTTCTTCAAATACATATAACAATAGCCCTATACTCGTTTCACCTCAAGAAAAATGGAAGCTTTTTGGAATGGTCATACGTGGCGAAAGTAGTACTTAAATTTGTCGGAGAATGGAAGAGGCGATGCTTTTGACGTTTGAAACGCATACGTCTTGATTAGATACCTTATATATAATCTGATACATACATCTTATTTCTCTACATAAAAAGTAAATGAATAATTCTCCACAAAAAAAAACTGTTTTTCT